GGAACTATTGAAATAAGTAAAGTATCAGAATGTAGGAAAGAGTTACACTCCAACAGGGTCAAGTTAAACCTGTGATATTCTTTCAAGTTGTTGACAAAAAATTTAAAAACTCATGTCGGTAACGGAGGGAATGAAATATGCAGCACTTTTTGGGCAATAAATCCAAACAGTGATAACTCTTGGTTCTCACTTCCATATCCTTAACAAACTGGTTTGAATATTTGCTTCATATAGTTTTCTACCATATGGTACAAGATTAGGTTGAAAAACCTCTGACTTTTTGACTCATGAGATTTTTTATGAAGAAAGGTCATGGTAACAGAGGGAAAAGTAACGGAGGGAAAATTGTGCAAACAAGTAGAAGGTGCAGGATTTTACATCATTTGTCAACTTTTTTTTTCCCGAATACTTTAATATTACTTCAAAATGAAAGGAAACTATTTCTATAAAATATGTCAGTCCTTCCAAGCAAATTTTTATCATTTTAAATACATTTTTTTTAAATCATGTACCTTTATCAACAGTTCAAAGATGGAATAACACAAGATATGATGAAATACATCCATTTATTGACATGATTTTCAGGTCTTTGAAATTTGGGAAATAATTTTTGTTCCATGTTTCATACATGGTCTGTTTAAAACATATGGAACTTTAGAACCAAAAATGGTCCAGAAAAAAGGTCAACAGTTTCATAAACTAGAGTACATATGTATCTGTTCAATACATTTTTATATCAGATGCATTAACTTGAATTTTTGGCCTTGTTGTTTACTTCTGCTTGACCAGACCCACATATTAGGAATTATGTAACAATTTCATCTTTTCTTGTGGATCCAATCTTGTATCAGGTCTGAACCAAATCTGAACCAGATCTGAACCAGGTCTCAACTTGGTCTAAACAAAGACTTAACCAAGACTAGACCAGGATATAACCAGGCCCAAACCAGGTCTGAACCATGATTTAAATCTCATCTTTCCTCATTCTCATGGACCCAAATCTCACATCAGGTCTAAAACCAGGTCTGAACCAGGTCTAAACCAGGACTTAACCAGGTTTAAACCAGGTCTGAACCAGGTCTAAACAAGGACTAAACAAGGACTAAACCAGGTCTGAACCAGATCTGAATCAAGTCAAAACCAGGACTTAACCAGGACTAAACCAGGACTTAGCCACGTCTAAACCAGGACTTAAATCTCATCTTTTATTGTTCTTGTGAACCCAGTCTCATATCAGGCCTAAACCAGGACTGAACCAGGTTTGAATCAAGTCTAAACCAGGACTTAACCAGGAATAAACCAGGACTTAGCCAGGTCTGAACCAGGACTTAAACCTCATCTTTTCTCATTCCTGTGGGCCCAATCTTGTATGAGGTCTAAACCAGGTCTGAACCAGGTCTAAACAAGGACTTACCCATGACTAAACAGGTGCAGATATTTCGTATAAAAAGCTCTTGAGGTCAAAATAAAATCAGTTGTGTAATGTGTACATTTAATTATGAAGTGTTTTATTGTCACAGAATCAGGAAGTGCACAGTTAGCATGCAAGGTGCTGTTTGCTTTATTGTGACGGCAAAAATTTGCTCTGAGGCTCACTAAACAAGGCCTTTTTTTTTTTTAGATAAAATCAACTGGAGCCAGAGTCAGTGGAGCCAGAAGCGCGCCCATGCTCACTTCCTGTTTGGAATGTGGTGGCTATGTCCATTTATATATATACAGTGTATGTTTGGACCACTGCAAAATGAACCAGTCCTGTTTTTCATGTTTTTAAGACAGGACAGCTGTGAAACATTCCAGGTGAAGCAATAACATCTCCACAGAGTAAGACAAACAGACAGCAGACCCTCCACCAGAAAAGTTCCACACTGCGTCTTTACAAAAACATATAAGGTTACTGAAGCGATGTCAACTTTTACTTTTAGCAGTAGCAAAATGTTGTCCTTCAAAAGTGATTATTGTACGAGTTTGAGTGACATTCCTGCTCAGTACTGCATGTACCAGCTTCAACCGCTGCATACTTTAAATACACAAACTCCAGCGGGGCAGATTAGAACCAGACGCTTCATGGTTGAGTGGCAAAGCTCTGCACCACCCGAGCGTTTCCAATGGGCCCCGGTGTCTTTGAACTGAGGTACACATGTGTGCGCTGACGTTTTCTTTCACTTTTATTTATTTGTGATGTCGTTTATCGAGCAGGTCCAGGACATGTGCAGGAGGTCTGGGGTCAGGAGAGTCACTGTGAGGGACAAAGTGTAGATAGAAAAGATTTTTACTGTTTTAAAAATGTGAAAAACAGGTTCATTTTAGAGGTGCATTGTGTAATTTTAGGAGATGTTATTGGGCCCGGTCAAGTGGTAATGGAGGGAAACAGGGGCAGATTTTTGACATTCAAATGTCTCTTATTCAGAAACTAGAGGAACTATTGAAATAAGTAAAGTATCAGAATGTAGGAAAGAGTTACACTCCAACAGGGTCAAGTTAAACCTGGGATATTCTTTCAAGTTGTTGACAAAAAATTTAAAAACTCATGTCGGTAACAGAGGAAATGAAATATGCAGCACTTTTTGGGCAATAAATCCAAACAGTGATAACTCTTGGTTCTCACTTACATATCCTTAACAAACTGGTTTGAATATTTGCTTCATATAGTTTTCTACCATATGGTACAAGATTAGGTAGAAAAACCTCTTACTTTTTGACTAATGAGATTTTTTATGAAGAAAGGTCATGGTAACGGAGGGAAAATTGTGCAAGCAAGTAGAAGGTGCATGATTTTACATAATTTGTCATCTTTTTTCTTCCGAATTCTTTAATATTACTTCAAAATGAAAGGAAAGTATTTCTCTAAAATATGTCAGTCCTTCCAAGCAAATTTGTATCATTTTAAATACATTTTTTTTTGAAAAATCATGTGCCTTCATCAACAGTTCAAAGATGGAATAACACAAGATATGATGAAATACATCCATTTATTGACATGATTTGCAGGTCTTTGAAATTTGGGAAATAATTTTTGTTCCATGTTTCATACATGGTCTGTTTAAAACATATGGAACTTTAGAACCAAAAATGGTACAGAAAAAAGGTCAACAGTTTCATAAACTAGAGTACATATGTATCTGTTCAATACATTTTTATATCAGATGCATTAACTTGAATTTTTGGCCTTGCTGTTTACTTCTGCTTGACCTTGCCCCATTACTTTGTTTGTCTAGAATATTTCACAGTATGGTATGAAACCCAACAAGTTAGGAACATTTATGAAACTGATTACATAAAAAAAAAAAAAAAAGTACAAAAAAATGCTGTTTTTGAGCAGTGCATACGCTAAAAGCATAAGTACTATAAAGGTCAGTTTTGTCTTTATTGAAATAGTACATACCCTAAAGCTAAAGGTTGAAGTAGTTTGTAAATAATAGTTTTCTTCTTTTTCAACACAACATAACTAGTTCACAAAACTTAACACCTTTTGGTGCCTTCAACACCAACTGTTACACTGTTTACTACAAACTTTTATTTTTTACCAGTACTGACTCGATTTGTAGTAAATGTAAAATTAAACAGACTGAACCATACACATTGTTGAATTACATTTTTTATTAACCAACTGTATAAACTTTAATAATGTGCTGGTACAGTGGAGGATGTCAATAGAAATACTAGGGACTAGACCAGGACTAGACCAGGACTAAACCAGGACTAAACCAAGACTAAACCCATACTAGACCCGGACTAGACCCGGACTAGACCAGGACTAGACCAGGACTAGATACATTAGTGCAGAGTGCATAACAATTTACTTTAATTACACACTTGTTTTACAATTTTATTATTACCAACCCATTTTATTCTGAAAATCTAGTCACCCCACTTTATTCTGACACTGACTGGAACTTGTCTTGGAAAGAGAGAGAGAGAGAAATGGAGAGAGGTGGAGGAGAGAGACAGAGAGAGACAGAGAGAGGAGGATGAGAGAGGAGGAGAGAGATGGAGAGAGAAGGAGGAGGAGAGAGAGACAGAGAGAGGAGGATGAGAGAGGAGGAGGAGGAGAGAGAGATGGAGAGAGGAGGAGAGAGAGAGGAGGAGAGAAATGAACAGAGGAGAAGGAGATCGAGCTGGAGAGAGGAGGAGGAGTAAGAGGAGAGAAATGGAGAGAGGAGGACTAGAAGAGAGAGAGAGAGATGGGGAGATGAGGAGAAGGAGGAGAGAGATGGAGAGAGGAGGAGAGGAGAGAGAGATAGAGGAGGACAGGGAAGGGGAGAGAGAGGGAGAGATGGAGAGAGATGGCGAGGCCGAGCAGCAGTTTAGCAGAAAACAACAGCGCGATAAGGAGAGAGTGTCAGAGGAGATGGGCTCAGTGATGGAGAGACGGAGGAACAGCTGCTGCTTTAAAGTGTCACAACAAAACAAGAAAACAACACCGAGACAGACGGAGAGGTACAACGAAACCAGCGGGACGCACTTATCCAACTTCTGTCATTGTGTCCTGAGGCAAGACACTTCGTCTACCTTGTCTAAAGTATGAAAGGGGCTGATGGTGCAGACTGACAGCCTCACTTCTGTCAGTCTGCCCCAGGACAGCTGTGGCTACAATATACTTATGTGTTTGTGTTACAGTTTGATAAATACTTAGTGTGTTTACAGTTTGATAAATACATTATGTGTTGTGTGCAGGTACAGTTTGATAAATACATTATGTGTTGTGTTCAGGTACAGTTTGATAAATACATTATGTGTTGTGTTCAGGTACAGTTTGATAAATACATTATGTGGTGTGTTCAGGTACAGTTTGATAAATACATTATGTGTTGTGTTCAGGTACAGTTTGATAAATACATTATGTGTTGTGTGTTCAGGTACAGTTTGATAAATACATTATGTGTTGTGTTCAGGTACAGTTTGATAAATACGTTATGTGTTGTGTTCAGGTACAGTTTGATAAATACATTATGTGTTGTGTTCAGGTACAGTTTGATAAATACATTATGTGTTGTGTTCAGGTACTATGCGATCTGCTGCCAGCCGCTGGTCTACAGGAACAAGATGACTCCGATGCGAGTGGCTCTGATGATCGGGGGCTGCTGGTCCATCCCCACCTTCATCTCCTTCCTGCCCATCATGCAGGGCTGGAACAGCATCGGCATCGACCACCTGGTGAGAACTACACACACACACACACATATACACACACACACACAGGCACACGCACACACACACACGCGCGCACGCACACACATATACATATACACACACACGCACATACACACACGCACAACACACACACATACACGCATACATACGCACGCACACGGACACACACACGCACACACACACACACACGCACGCACACACACGCGCACACACAAGCAACACACAAGCACACACACAAGCACACATGCGCACACACACACACATACACGCACACACACACACGCACACACACACACGCACACACACACACGCACACACACACACACATACGCACACACGCACGCACATACACACACGCACACACGCGCTCACACACACGCACACACATGCACGCACACACACGCACACGCACACACACACGCACACACACACTCACAGGCACATGTACATAAAGTCCCAGTGCGAGTGCGTCTCCAGTACAGCAGGTGTTGGGGTCGACGTCCCTGAGCAAATGCTGCACCTCAGTTAAAAAAAAAAAAAAAAACTGTGTGTGCGCTGTGTGTTATATATGTATATTATTTATCTGATACCTGATCGGAACATAACGCCCGAGTCCAGATGGAGTTGGCCGTCACATGACCGACTCAGATTTTCAGATTTTCGATCACGTGATCAGATCAGGACAACACTAATTATGTCTATACTGTGTTTTGATTATGTGCTGATGTCGAGGTGTTTTTTTTTTTTTTTTTTTGCGTGTGTATGTGTGTGTGTGTGTGTGTGTGTGTGTGTGTGTGTGTGTGTGTGTGCTGGTTCCATACTATGCCCCAGTTAAGGAGCATGGTCTGGGGGCTGTCCTCTTTTTTTTTTCTCCTCCCCCATGTCCTCCTGTTACGCTGTATTATTTTCTTCTTCTGCTACCTGTCTTCCATTCTAGTACGTGGTGTCCTGGTGCTTTTATTTTGCCATTGTGTCTGTAAATCAATTCCTGGTCCCGATACGGAACTCGGCTCCAAATCTACTTGTATAACTGCTAGTCTCAATGAGCTTCATTTGACTGGAGCTGAAAGCTATGAGTGACGTCACGCTCCTTTACTTCACTTCTCTCTGCTTCTGACACACCACAGCGAGCAAAAATAAAAACAGCCAAATTGATGAAATTGAACACATGAAGTGTGTCAAAACGGTCAATAGCCCTAAAGCCGAAGCTGATTTTACTCACTGTACTTGAAGTGGTCCGCATAATAATATCAATACAATAAAACACAATCGACTTGAATAGAGTTTGAGCTGTGGCCACTCCAAAACCCTTTTATCCATCACAGAAAACAATTATTTCCCACACGAATGCAGTCGTGAATGCAGCATTTACAAAGAGTGGACTTTTTCATGTTTTTCTGCGGTAACTGCCTCGACATGTCATCAACGAGACAGAGGCAGGCCGCTGACACCGAACACACCACTCTGCTCAACTGCGATGCTTTCGGGGGCTTACAAAAGGATCAGACAAAAGAGTATTCGGTTTCTAAACAGTGAAAACAATGACTACATGTTTAATACAATACAGGAGGATTCAGCTGTTGTGAGACGGTGTGGCTGTAGTTTTTATTCGAAACAAGATGGAAGATCTGAATTATGTTTTTAGGATCTGTGGATGTTTAGTCTGATGTTTTGTAATTGTAAATAAACATATGAGATCATCCATGACGTAACCGAATGAAATTGAAATTGCAATTTGAACGAGCACAAACAATGATTTTTATTTTTATTTTTTTACTTTTTATGAACGATAGCGACCAAGAAAAAATACTCTCTTGCCACGTTTACATGAGATCTTTAATTCCGAATAAAAATAATTGAATTCTGAATAAAAATTAAAACACTTAATTTGAAATGAAAATGATTATTCAGAATTAAATTTACCATATTTTCTGCACTATTAGGTGCTCTAGATTATAAGGCGCACTGTCATAGAATGGTCTATTTTCGCACTGGACTTTAAAGGAAACACAACAGTGTGATGGGTGAGTGGTTTTGTTTGTTTGTGTTGTTCACGGTGACTCTGGGCTTTGTTCAGTTGTGGCGTGTAGGGAGGGTGCTGTCTGGGACCAACGGATTGTCGGCGTGTTCACAGTGACTCAGTTGTTCAGTTGTGTCTAGAAGTGGCACATTGCGCTCGCTTTTTTCGGTTCGTTCCTCCGTTCCGTTCCTCGTCGGCGTGGAGTGATGAGTGTGTCTGTGGGTGTTTTTCGCAGTGCGGTCGCTGTCTGCTCCGTGTGTGTTTGCATGCGCCGCGGGTGGTGCGGCTTCAAGACTGCTTCAAGAACTACCGGTATTTTAAAACTGGATTAACAACAAAGCAGAAGGGACACTTTGGAAAAGAATGCTGTTCTCACGATACCAGGGTCCAGTGATGGCGATCCTGGATCTGTAAGTTTACTACTAGTAAACCGCTGAAGAGAAGTAAAAGCAAACTGCAGCGTTTATTTTTGAAGATTATCCGACATATAATTTCAATAAGCATGTCATCTGTCTTGTTCTACCTGTTTTAGTTTGACAAACGTTACATGGTCCTACGATATTACATTGATACTAACAACAGACTTAGAGCATCATTTTATTCTAGTGAGTTTTCTTCAATGCTTCTGCACGAGAACAAAATGGCGATTACACCTCAGTCATTACGACCACTGATGTTTAGTGGTCGCCTGTACAGATTATGACCACCTCATTTGATCTAAGATTATTATCAGATTCAAGTTTGCTCAATTATTCCTTCTGTCTCCCCCTCCCTCCCTGAGATGGGCGGAGGAAGGGCGGCTCACTCACAGCCTACGTCACGTTTGGAGGGCGGAGCCTGTGCTTTCTCAGGACGGGCGGGGGGATGAACAATAGTCGGACTTTCATAGTTCCTGGTCTGTGACTGTCTCCAAGAAATCAGTAAGATTTCAGAACTATTGTGTAATGGATGTTCCAAAACCCAAATTGTGCTTGTTTATGTGCAGAAGATACAATGTGAAAAGAGTTATTTTACATGAGATGGGACCTTTAAATGTCTTATATATAATTCAAACCTGACACTTGTGAGCATTAATACTGTAGCCTACTGCCTCATAGTCAAACGTCCCCTCTGGATTATCTGTCTTCTTTTTCCATGTCGTGTTTTATAACCTTCTATATTCTGCTGAACATAAACTATCCTTGTTCTAATTAACACTCAGTAAACTTGTGATACCAGCAGCTTCTACAGTAACTGCTGCTTTGACAACATCACCGCACTTCTTCTTACAGGCCTTAATTAAAAATAAACCATCAAAGTCTTTTCATGTTTACCCTCTCATTTGACCTTTGACCTCTCAGACAGCTTAAACACCCCCGATCAGACCGCGAATGCCAGGTAACGGGGCTAATTAACTCCACTGAGAATCACACCGGATCTGTCCATCTGAGCTGCCAAACTGAACCGACCAATCAGAGCGCTCGGAAGTTCTCCCCGCGTCCACTCATCGGCCAATAAGGGGCAAGAGGTTAGCGTCGGCGAGGGAGGCTTTGTTTGTGGTTATTTTTGTTCAGAACCGGGATGCTGTGTCAATATTTTCTTTATAAATTTGCGCCACTGACAGCCATGAGTGTGCCATGGGGCTTTTATTTCATTTTAATGAGTCCCTGGTTTTGGCTCATTTTGTGTTTTGTTTTCATTTAACCTCTAACATGGAAATACTGGTCAATCAGGACGTGCAGTTTAGATGCATTATTTATAACACAGAGAGGCGCCGAAGCAGATGGAAGCCTGTGACAGTGACAATGGCCGCTCTCATCAACACAACAGCGAGTTTTTTTTTTTGTTTTTTTTTTTCTAAGTCTCATAAGAATTGAACTATTTTATTTTATTATAAACTGCAAACTCTACACTAGTTCGTATTCGAGTCGTTTTCGTTGTGGGTGCCGTGTTCGTCCACACTAATCTGACTAGAATGATCTGGTGCCTCCAGTCCAGCTCCCACAAATTCATCTGAGTACAGATCTGATCTGGCACTGTGTGGACGCCTGAAAACACTGATACTCTGATGTAGGTCTATGCTCCGCGAAGAAAATTCACCACCAAAATGTGATAAACATCTCCAACGCGACAAAAGCACAGAACAGACTCACCATCAGCAGAACACCGCTCTGTCACAGAAAGAACACTCATATTCCACTGAGTCGTGTCCTTTAGTCCGACAGAAGCTGAACCACATCAGCGTACAATCCGTGTCATTCATTTTTCAAAATAAAACCAAAAATAATTCAACGAATAAACAACTTTTTTTTTTCTTTATTTGTCTCCAAAACAAAAATGAAAAAATGGATAACGATTTGTTTTTTCAGTTTTCAATTTTGTGTCTAATTGAATAATGGAAAACAACCCTTTCCGGTTTACATGACTTAAACTGCGATGCCGGACTAAACCAGACTGAAGCAGGTCTAAACCAGGACTGAGACTGGGACTAGACCAGGACCAGGATTGAGACCAGGACTGAGACCAGGACTGAGACCAGTTTAGTCCTGGTTCAGTCCGGCATCTCAGTTTAAGTCACGTAGACAGGAAATGGTCGTTATCTGTTTTTTCCATTATTCATTTAAACACAAAATCGAAAACTGAAAAAACAAATTGTTAAAACAAATTAACAAATGATACACGGATTGTGCACAATAGTGAGTAGTTCTTTTGAGCTCTTAGTTTATACAAATTAACCATGTGGTTTTACGTTTTGTTGCTGTAAAATGTAAACAAATATGCTCAAAGCTGTGTGCATAGGGAAGACCTGCAGACACAGAAACGATGTGTCTGGACGCAAATCGTTTCCGATACAGTGATACTGTGTAAATATAACCTTAAAGAGGAGTTTTTATGCAAAATTCCATGTTATAATGTTCCCTCTTTGAGCTTTGGAGAAATAGACAGACTAATAATAAAGAGTTACTCAAACACGTGTGAATGAATCAAAACACAACTCCAGGTC